CGACATCATGTAGGAAGCTGTGCATTTCGCAGATTAAATTCACACACCCATAGGGACCTAAGGTTGAAGATTAAAGACGATTTATCTAGAACCAATTGAATTGCTACAAACGCATTACTATTACATCTTGAAATAATGAATGAACCGTCCCAAAGTCATAAGGTGTTTCGTAAATCTTTCACAGTTCCTCCCGGTTAAAATGTCATACTACTTTATTTGGATCATCTTTTGACTTATAACACTCCATGACTGCATATTTCGTGTCATTTTTTCCTTTTATTTCACATTTGATATTATTACGATATATTATTAGTATTATTCTCCTGGGTTCCGAGTGGAACCCTCACTTCACTTAGTCCTGTTCCCTGCGATCCTCTTTAGCTAGCCCCATGATTGACCGTAGTTTCCCATCTCTTCTTCGCATGGTCTCTATCCATATAACCCTCGGACACCCAACTCGTCGTCTCCCACTCAAGCCATCGCCTGGCGCGCGATATCCCTTAAAGGTGTCCTCAGTGTTTGTCCAATCCATCACCATTTTCCTCGGCATATTTCTTGAGCAGTAGGTTCTTGGCTGGTTCGTACCAAAAGATTCTTGTTGCTAATGCTTTCCCGTCGGCCATCTGATCTTCAGTATGGGACCAGCGAAGGCAGATGTTGATAAAAACCTGCAGAATCCTGTTCGAAATGCTTTTCGTGACGCTAGTGCCAGGTTTCTAACCCCTACAGAAAAATTGTCTAACTTAACATTCGTGTTGAACATCCAGATTTCGTTCTTTATGCTGACTGCAGAAGATATCCAGCCTGATTTCACAGTGATGAAGTTCTGTCTTGCCTTTCCGCTTCTGGTTTTTACATCCTCATCCATTCCGCCTATTGTTGAAACGACGCTTCGTAGACAAGTTAATGGAGTAGCCCCTCTAGAATTTCGCTCACTGATAGTAATTGGTGCTTGTTATTGGTTGGTTATTTTTATTACATCCCTACATTTACTTGAAGTCCTGTCTTCACTGCATGCTTCGTCTGCCAACTTGTTGGTTCTCACCTGTAGCTCTTCAAGTTCGTGTGACATCACACATAAATCGTACACAAAGTTCCGATCTTCTAGAATCTTCTTACCGATCTAACACATTTCTGTATTCTCACTTGTCACACACAGTCTCAAGAAAAATCCAGTCCACCACAATTAAGACTATCATGAGTGATGGTCAGCAAACTTGTCTAACTCCTGTATTTACTTTAAAAGCCTCGCGAACTTTTCCGTTATGGATAGCCTGATATGCACCTTTGTCCTAAAGCTGATTTATTTAAATGCATAAAAGCTTGGTACAATATGGCACCAAGAAGGATGCGCCACACAGGAATAATACAACAACACAGATCAAAAGAAAAAAGGAAAGAAGAGAGAAAAATATATATATATATATATAAGTAGGGAACGGATAAAGAACTTCATCTGGAAGGAAAACAGTCATGCTTAACAAGTTGAAACAGTATTCGTTAACTATCATCGGGAAGGGAAGAAAGAAGGAAATTGCAACACGTGTAATAGCACGCGATAAGTTTCATTGATTGTTTGTTGCTTTATTCAATTCATTGTGTTCATTGGGCTGAGATACTGCCCGGGAGCCCAGACCGAAGCAGGTGGTTTTATTGACTTGGAGTCTAATCCGCAAGGCAGCGGAGCAGCGTCAGGAGCTGCATTCCCACGGTTTTCGGTGACCCATATGGATTCATACGCCATTTGATCCGATTGGATACTGGAGCCCATGTACCCCATGGTAACCGCCTTTAGTTTAACCGCTATCCAAACAACCTTCCTGACATGGTAGGACCTGCAGGGACAGAGTCCCAGTCAGTTAAGCATGAGGCTGATAAAGATTTGGGGAAAGCCATAGTGTTGAAATAGTTTCCAAATCACTTCTTGGCTGGCTCGTTTCAACATAGAACTTTGCACCGATGTGCAGCAGTTCGAGTCGCCACACTCCATGTAGCACACGAAGCCATAGAAGAAAGTAAAAAGAAACGCAAAATAGAGACAGCAAACAGAGATATGAGGCAAAAAGGATAGTTTTATTGGATATTATAAGTCACAAGGAGTGGATGCATCTAGGCCATCCATTGACAACGAGGATTTTGAGCTGTATCACCAATTATCTCCACCCATTGGTTTCTACCGTCCCGAGGACCCCTACGAGGAATTCTACACCTCCCTACGTAACTGGCTGGCTTAAACTAACTGTCGCGGATTTTATTGACTAATGAAGCCGTCTTTTCGTTTGACCACCACTAGCTCTTTGCCAACCTGACCCTAAATAGCATTGCCCGTTAACGAAGTCGATGGCTAGGCATACGTAACACATGTCCTAACCATCTCAGTCGAAATAATTTCACAGCATCGTCGATTGATTTCCCCCCCCCCGCCTACCTAGCACTCGATGCCTAACCTCAATATTGCTCACCCTATTATACCACCTAACACACACGGGAGATAGAACGCAGGCACCTTTGATCAAAGACAGTTAGCCAGGCTCTTGGCGTCTTTTACTTTAAATAGCCAAGCGGACTGCTGAGAAGTACATACGCCCTTTGGTCGATAGCCGAATATCACGTCTACACGAGAAATGGTGTAAACTTGCATATGCAAAACGAGCTTTCTGTTTCCGTGCTGAGATTCTGTCAGCGGTCAACCCTCTGGCGTTGGCTGGTGCAACTTCCCAAATATGTGCTCTACCAATTCACTCCTTATTTATAAGCTAGGAGTCAATGTAGTTCAGCCCTGTAGCACCATCTTACATTTTACGGGAGCAAAACATTCGGAGATTGCTGCTCAAGGTGTTCAGAAGACTCCGCATTTCGTCCGCGTCTTCACCTAGAAGGAGTATATCACCTTCATGTTCTAAGTCAACGAGATTATTCCCCAGTAACAAGTCAGTTCCTGAGTCGCTGAAGTCAGTTGGGATTAAGCCCATTAGTACATCTATGATGACATTAAACATAAATGCGGACAGTGGGCATCCATGACGGACACTACTAGTCGTCACCACTTCAGGTGAAAACTCGCCGTAAGCCCTCACCTGGCTGCTTGAGTTCGAGTAGCGTGCCTTGATCAGTGCAATGTATATTCTCCGCATTCCCTTCATAGCCAAAGATTGCCATAGTACCTCTCAGTCGACAGAATCGAATGCCACTTTCAGGTTCAGGAATATGACGATTGTTGGACGCCGTTAAGTATGCCTATGTTCCAGAATCTGTCGACGGGTAAAGATATGATAATACACCCCCTTCCTGGTCTAAAGCCTGCCTAGTTCTCTCGTGTTTGTTCCTCCCATGCACTGCGTAGTCTACGCATTATTATCGAACCTAGAATTTTAGACATCATATTAATCAAGCTAATAGCTCTGTGATTATCACAGGAAAACTTGTCTCCTTTCTTGTATATCGGGATAATCATGACTTATACCAACCCGACGGGACTTGCTCTGATTCCTCGGCTACCAAAAATTACTTCCTAATTGATGTGCAAGCATCAATTTTGACAAATTTAACGAAGACACAGTAATGTTATGTTTTTATGCTTTCATTGAGTGGGTAAAGCATTCAAAGATGAAATACAGGCAACTTCCAAGTATTGTACGGTAGAATTAAGCTGCTTTTAGACAAAGTAATAAGAAGACGTAATTTATCTGAATCGTGTATTGTATGTATTTGCGCAACACATTTCGAACAATCTGATCACACATGGACCTTTCATAGGAATATATATGAAATTAATAAAGATTTAAGAGGTGAGGAAATTGACTTAGGTCAAGTTAAAAGACATACTGAAGGTCAAATTAACAATGAAGATCACTAAACCAAATAACTGAGGTAACAATACATCTACCCTAGCCTATATCAAAACAAAGTTTACCAATGAAGGAAGGTTTAGTGTGATGACGAATTGTTGCTTTGAAAGCCTAAAGGTGGTTTAAACTTTTTAATTGCTAAGGCTTTCACAAACTTTAGGATACGCCCCAAAACACGTTTTATAGATAGGTTTAAAAGATCTATTAACGTCAATTTTATGCCGTCTCTAAAATATCTTTCGCAATAGAGGAGCCAGGTCGTCTGTTCTCATTATCAATGGGTCCTGAAGGTTCTATTGGCTTCTGGAGCCATTTAGGAATATGCTCTGTAGCCAGGCCTTACTTGCAGAGAACAATGAGTCCTCCATATGTATGTGTCCACACGTACACTCAAAGGGCTTTACGTCCTTAATTATTATGATATCAGCTGCATAAAGTCTTTTAACAGCAGTGCTCAATCTTTGTCTAGTTATCAAGTTGCCATGATGCCCACATATAGTGTAGCTTGATGTACCCGTCTTTCTTAATGATGAGTTTCAGAGTGGGTCTTGGTGTTCTCCTGATGACCTTGTCTGGATAACTGCTATCAACCAGAGTTTGTGTCAACTTTTTTTCTTCTTCATCAAGTGTGTGTCTTCAGTGCATATTCGTTGGATTCTACTGAAGAGGCACCATACTAAGGCTCTTTTTGTACCGAACAGGGCAGAAACTGTGGTAATTAGGCTGCTTTTGTTTATCTGCCAAACTTAAACTCCTCAGGATTCAGTAAGTGCGAGAACATCAACAAAAACCCCATGATATGTATTCACTAATATCTATATTAAATAAAATAAACACTCAAAAGATATATATATATATCCACAGCAGGGTATTGATTATGATATGTCATGCGAGTACCACCTACTCATTTACAAATTCTGGGAAAACCATAAACCATGAAAGTTCGTAAATATAACAACTTTAAAATGTATCACACAGTTGAGTAATAAAATGAAGCAAATTATATGAGATCAGCATCAAAAAGTCATTGTACAGGTTGATGAACGAATATTATAATACAAAAACTGCAATCATTTAAGCTGTGCATGTGTGTGTATAGAACTTTCTCATTAATGTAATTATTATGTTCATTGACTAGATAGGAGTATAAGTTCATACATTCTGAGAATCAGTAAACGTAGAACTACTCGAACTTATCTTATCAGTTGGTAAATTAACTATTACACTAGACTCTTTTGATACATTCTCTCCAGATTTCTGTGTTTCCTCAGTATCCATTAAACTAGGCCATGTGGTGACCAATTCATTTGATGCAGGCATAACAGTCTCCTTCTTCATAAAACGTTCATTCAATGCCTTTAGAGCAATGCGTCTAAAAGAAAAAAAAATATTACAATATCATCCACAAAAGAGAAGATTATAGAGATTTCATTATGCCATGTGTACTTGAAACACTAATATTGACCAACATGTACGCACCCGCTGGGGTTCCAGCCCACGACCTTCCGGTTACAAGGCAGGCTCGTATTGCCCATGATTCGCAAACTGGGATAAAACAGCTGTCCAGTACTCCAATGCTGGTTTTCAATGGTTTTCTAACTGATATCAATTGTAAAACATATCTAATCCTTACAAAGCAATCATAGAAAATATAAGTAACAGCCAACGTACATACATGTCAAGTTATGACTCCAAGAGGCACTTTTTGAGTTAATTAACAAAAAAAATGACACAGAATTTCTATAAAACACTTGAATGTCTCTTGAGCATACATCAAATCCATCTCTATTCCCTTCCGCATATTTGTTGACTAGTAAGCCGTATGTCAGAGTGCTATGTTACCGCTTACCGTTTTTGACTGGTCAACTGGTTTGCACAGTATCGAGGGAAGGCATCTGTTATTGAAAGTCTGCAGCCGCTTAATTGGACACTAGTAACTAGTGCGACGTGTCTAGTCCTTTCTTTGGTGCAGACTGAATTCTATCAATCAGGTTTACAATGTGGTCACTATTCTAGGTAGGTCACCATCACGGTCCACATTGATTTGATGATATTAGATAGTTGGAGGCAATCGGGTTCAAATTTCAGAAGGGACATGAGTTCCTTCAAGGTTGCAGATACACCTTGCTGACAAGTGCCAACTATCCCGAAACCTAGGTCTCCAAGGCTTCCTGCGTAGTGCCTCCAGCTATCTAATATCATCAGGTCTGCAGTCTGTTGCAAACGCGTTTGGTGACTGAATGGTCGATGGGTCAGCCTTGCAACCTTAAAATTCTGTGTCCCACCCCTAGTAGGGTAATGGATATGTACTAATGAAGGACCCGTGACTAAGACGAAGCAATTGCCCAGTCTTCCTCGGTTTAATTTCGCCTCATTTAATAACTGGTTGATCCTAAGCACAGCAGAGAGAGAAAATTTGATGTTAAACTCTGCAGCAAACTGTCTGTTTTCGACATAGAACTTTGCACAAATGTGCGGAAGTTCAAGTAGCCACACTCCGTGTAGCACGCGAAGCAAGAGAAGAAAGTACAATAATAATAATAGAAACAGTAAGCAGAGATGTGAGACAAAGGAGGAGTAATAACGAAGAACAAAACAGTTTCATTGGAGATCATAAGTCACAAGGATTGGATGCATCTGCGCCACTGAGAACGATTTTGAGCCATATCACCAATTGTTTCCAACCATTGATTTTTACCGTCCCGAGGACCCCAGCCTGGAAGTCTACACCTTCCTACGTGGCTTAGACTAACTGTTGTGGATTTCATTGACTGGTGCCAAGTTTTTGTTTGACCGCCGCTAGCTTTTTTCCAGCCTGACCCTATGTCAACTAACATTGCCCGACAACGACTAGACATACGTAACACATGTCCTAACCATCTCAGTCGATGTAATTTCACGACTTCGTCGATTGATTTCCCCTCCTTACCTAGCACTTGACCTATGCCTAACCTCAATATTGCTCACCTTATTATACCACTTCACACGGGAGATAGAGCGCAGGCACCTATGATCAAAGACAGCTAATCTTTTCATATCTACCACTCTCAGTGGCCACGTCTTAGAGCCATAAAGGAGGACGGAGCGGACTGATGAGCAGTACACACGCCCTTCGGTTGACAGCCGGATATCATGTCTACGCCATAGTCGGCGTAAACTGGCAAATGCAGCAAACTAATCTCATAGCAATTGAAATTCTTATGCACAGAAGAAATTCGTAAAGTTGTACCAGCAGAAATAGTTAGCATAGCAGAAAATCTTAACACTGATGTTGATTTTCTTTAGTATCTTCAGCCCCAAAGAAACATCCAAACATCAATCATTGGAAGTGTCTACTGCCCAGTAATTCACTTGACGACGCTACTACATGGTTGTGGGATACGGGTCGCTGCCAAAAAGATGAAGGAAGACTGTGCATTTTCCACCAAAGATATCTTCATTGAGTCACACCAGTACAATAGGATCAAGCAAACTGGAACCTTGTTAAGAATTTACAGTGAAATTTTACTCTTGGTCCACAAACCACGAGAGAAGGAGCGGTATTCGTACCCATAACCCAATGACTGAAGTCGAAATGCCAAATCGATTGGGGCACGATTAATATGCCTGTGATTATTAATTGACTTGACAAACATTCAGAAGTGTGTAGCTTTCGGTTCTCTGATAGTTAAGAATAAGTGGTTAAAGGATAACAGTTTACAGTTCATAATTAGTCACAGACGTACTCACTCTGTCAAATTTAGGACTTAGGACGTTTTCACCCATCTTCACTTAGCTATAATTTTCTTGCTTATATTCTTGTTTGGCCATACTATTATCAGTTTGCATCTATACGCTTGAGCCGATGCCCTATGTCAATTCGTCTCTCTGCCTGCCTGCATAATCAAATCATACGTTAGTTTCTATGTTGAGGCAGTTTCTCAATCCTCTTCGCTTATATGGTAAAATAATACTGAGTTGATAAATACTACGAAGTCTCACACCCATTAATGCATTTATACCCACACATTTACATTAGTGTTCGAATCAGCAGGCCAACAATCGTTGTGTTTCTTGATATTAAATCTACCTTCGATTATTTGGACAGAAGTGCTCTCTATAACTGTCTATTGGAGAGAAGCGTCCCCGGTAAATTTGTAAACGTTATGAAAGCCCTAAACAGAAAAACCTCAAGTGGACTTAGAGAATATAACCACTTATCATTACTGTTCCCAACTAACAGTGGGGTTAGACTGGGTTGCCTAATCTCTCCATTTCTCCCAAACTTTTCTATCGCTGACATTTTGGAGTTAGCCGTAAAGGAAGTGCGTGGTAGTGGTGCAGATTTCATCTTGGAGAAAGACAATATACCGGGGTTCAAACCCCGGTGGTTGCGTATTGCAGAAGAGTCCCAGACTGGGACGAGACAGCTGTGCAGTACTCCCCGGTTTCCCAGTGTTTCTCTAGATGATGTCAGCTCATGATGAAATCCTCCATGCAACCAAACAAAATCCCTACAAAACCAAAAGACGATATTGTCTTACTGTGTGATAGCGTGCAAACTGCTTAAACCGCACTCAGTGTCTGTGAGTACAATACGCCCTTTGGGCAGTCTTATTGTTAAGTATCGTTGCAAGGTTGGTAGGAACATGTACCTGCATTCATCCTTGCAGGTGAGCCGCTTGAAGTGGTCAACAAGTTCGCATATTTAGGCGGTTGTGCAAGTGTTGGTGGTGCGACGGATGAAATCTCTAGTAGTAGCAGGCGACTTGAAACACAGGCTCCAGTGACTGACATGTGTTACGAATGTCATCCCAGAGGCTCCCGTACAAACCGTTGTCCCCTAGTTCTAGGACTGGGTGGAAAAAGCGGAGAGGTGTTCAGCCCACCACGGGATGCCGTGGGAGGACGGGTTTTCATGTTTTATTTATTTATTTATTTAAACGCATAAAAAACTTGGTACAATATGGCACCAAGAAAGATGCGCCACACAATAATAATAAAACAACATAGATCAAAAAAAAGGAAGGAAGGAAAAGAAAAAATATATATAAGTAGAGAACGGATAAAGAACTTCATCTGGAAGGAAAACAGTCATGCTTAACAAGTTCAAACAGTGTTCGTTAGCTATCATCGGGAAGGGAAGAAAGAAGGAAATCGCAACACATTCGCCACTGATTACGATTCTTGGCCATATCCGATAACGTTTCGAGCCATCGATTTGAGCTATCTCTCGGACCCCAACCAGGGAGTCGTGACACACCAACCGATGCTAATCTAGCACAAAAATCCTTCATCCCACGACGCCACGTCATGGACTGACCACCTCTCCGCCTTTTCCATCCCGTCCCAGGGCTAGCGAACAGAGACCTGTACGGAAGCCTCTGGGGTGACATTCGGAGCACATGTCCAAGCCACCGGAGCCGGTGTTTCCAGATGACGACATTCAAGGAATAGTGATCTCCACTTTGTTCAAACACACGCCGCCGAACCTCAGAATTACTCACGCGATGATGCCATCGAACGCAAGCAATCCTGCGGAGACAGCGGTGATCGAACACGCAGAGTCGCCGCACATCCTCAGCTCGGAGAGGCCAGGTTTCACAGGCGTAGAGCAGCGCAGCCAGCACCGAAGCATTGTATACCCGACCTTTGACAGCCAGGCTAACGTCGCGACGGCGCCATAGGTGGCTCAAGTTGATGTATGCCACCCTAGCCTTCATTATACGGTTGGAAATCTCATCCGTCACCCCTCCGCCAGCACTCACACAACTACCCAGGTACACAAACTTATCAACAACTTCAAGCGGTTCACCCGCAAGAGTGAGTGCAGGTACAGGCTCCTGCCAATCTTGTAACAGTACTTTGCACTTAGACGGCGCAAAGCACATACCATACTTACAGACACTGATCGCCAACTGATTAAGTGCGATTTGGGCAGCCTGCATGCTATCGCACAGTAAGACGATATCGTCTGCATACTCGAGGTCGAAAAGTCTATCTCCAGGTAGCAGATCTACACCACCTTCACGCACATCCTTCAGAGCTGACTCCAGAATGTCATCGATGGCAAAGTTAAAGAGAAATGGAGAGATTGGGCAACCCTGTCTAACCCCACTGTTGGTTGGGAACAGTGGTGATAGTTGGTTGTATGCCCTCACTCTACCTGAGGTGTTTCTGTATAGGGCTTTCAGGATGTTAACAAATTTCTCAGGTACACCTCTCTCTAACAGACAGTTCCAGAGCACAGTTCTGTCCAACGAATCGAAGGCAGCCCTAATATCAAGAAACACAACGATCGTTGGCCTGCAATACGTGTGGCGGTGTTCCAACAACTGACGAAGGGTGAACACATGATCAATGCATCCACGACCTGAACGAAACCCAGCCTGCTCTTCGCGAATCAATCCTTCACGTATTTTGCACAGTCTGCGAAGCAAGACAGCAGCCAATATTTTAGACGCGACTGGTAACAGACTGATACCCCTATGATTGTCACACGAATTACGTCGACCCTTTTTAAAGATGGGGACGATAATGGCTTCGTTCCACATTGATGGTACACTCTCTGTCTCCCACACCTTCCTGAACAACCCAGTTAGAGCCATTGTGAGAGTCTCGCCACCATCTTTAAAAAGAGCCGGGGGTAATTTGTCTGGGCCGGGCGCCTTATGGCGTTTCAGAACTTGGAGTTCCTTACGGACCTCCGCTTCGGTGGGTGGGTCGGTACTAACCGACCAAGGAGCACTCGGGCTAATGATAGTAGACACTGAAGCTGGTGGCCAGCTGAACTGCTTCCCGAAGTGCTCTGCCCAGCGTTCCAGGCGTCTTTTCAGGCTGGTAATTGGAGTGCCATCTGCCTCACAGACCGTCTCGCTGACACCTTGTTTCTTGCTGCCGGTGGCTCGTATGAGTTGGAACAGCTTCCGACTGTTGCCAGATGCAGCAGCTGACTCCATCTCACACGCACGTTCTGACCACCAGGCTTCGCGGTCCTTACGTAAACACTGTCTAATCTTGCGCGTGAGCGCCTTTCGCTGATTGTTGTATTCGCTGCCAGCCGGAATGGACCGGCGTTCATCCATGAGTTGCAAGGAACTCGCAGAAACCCAGTGGTTGTTAGCGGAGCATTCTTTCAAGCCGCAAGCGGCTACACTCGCCTTTTGCATGGCACCTTGCACATGAAGCCAATGTTCATCTATACTACTTGGGGGGTTGCTGGCAAGCATTGTTTTTAACTCATTCTGATATTTCAAAGAAGTAGCAGGTGCTACTAGTTTGCTCACATCAACGCTTAGACGACGGCTTTTACGAACCCCACCAAATCGCAAGACGAACTTGGCACACACTAACGCATGATCGGAGTCCAGGCATGTGCTCCAGAAGGAGCGACAGTCTTGTATGCATCCTCGCCACCGGAAACTGACCGCGATATGATCAATCTGAGTCCAAGCTTGCTTCGCAGAGGGAGGACGCCAGGTAGCGCTACGGCGATGGCTGTGCCGGAAGTTGGTGCTAGCTAGAAATAGGTTGTGATCCGCGCAAAGCTGCAGAAGACGGTCCCCATTATCTGACCTGCGACCATGTAGTCCCCACTGACCACCTAGACGATTCTCCTCTGAGCTTAGACGCCCCACCTGTGCATTCAAGTCCCCAGCCAGCACTACGATATCCCTCCGACCCGCCTGTTTCAAGAGATCGCTCAGTTGGTAGTAAAACTCATCCTTCATTGCATCCGGGCTGCAATCCGTCGGTGCATAGGCAGAGACAACAAATAGACACCGCCTATCTGGCCTACTACTCTTTACTTTCGTATAACCTTCCAGCCTCACAGCACATAAACGACTGTTAATGGGAATCCAGTCGAGCAAAAAAACTTCAGCTTCAGCGCTCAGTGCGACACCGACACCAGCTACGCCGGATGCCGACGCCACAGGGTCCCCGGATAAGCGCAGGTGGTACATACTACTAGAACTTCCAGATGGAGAGGATAGTCGAAGCACTTCACTGGGATCTTGAATGCGGGTCTCCGAAATGCAGCAGACATCGATAGCGAGGCTTTCCAAAGTTCTTGCCAACCCTGCCTGTTGTCCGATTTGCATCAGCGTCCGAACATTGTAGGTAGCCAGCTTGAACGCAGCACGCGGTTTCAGGATATCCGTGTTAGATGTCACATTGGGAACAACCATTTTGAGGACTACTCACTAACATCTCGAAACGACACGGATAGGCTGGGAATCTCGACAAAGGCGAAAGGCTGTCGAAGGTTAAGAAGCCAAGGTTAGAAAAGGTACAATACAGGAAACTATGTATAAAAATAAAAGTAGGGTAGGAAGGAAATAAGTTCCTTGAGGGATCAATATTGCTTGGAATCATTTTACTAGTGCGCGTTGAGTTTCAATGGGAGTTCGTTGCTTTAATTCATTCATTGTGTGCGGGCTGAGATACTGCCCGGGCGCCCAGACCGAAGCAGGTGGTTTTATTAAGGGACCACCCCCGAGCCTTTGACTTGGAGTCTAATCCGCAAGGCAGCGGAGCAGCGTCAGGAGCTGCATTCCCATGGTTGCCGGTGACCCATATGGGTTCATACGCCATTTGATCCGATTGGAAACTGGAGCCCATGTACCCCATGGTAACTGCTTTTAGTTTAACCGCTATCCAGAAAACCTTCCTGACATGGTAGGACCTGTAGAGACAGAGTCCCAGTCAGTTCAGCTTGTTGGGTCATTGCGGTATACAAGCCCGACCACCACGACAAGGTAGCAGTTATCGGCCGGGGGTATTCATGTTACGTGAGCATCAGTTGGTACGGCTAACTGGTTGAAGGCCGATAGATACCTCGAACTTGTAGCTCGAAACATTATCTGATATCGCCAAGGATCGCAATCAATGGCAAAAATACTGCAATTTCTTTCTCTTTTTGAAAGTAACATGAAGTGATGAATTTTGAATGGTCTTGATAAGTATGCTAGCTTACTTTCTGGATGACGGCCTTCATTTATCCTGTCTCTATTTCCTTTCTAAACTGTTTTACTGTTTTTCAGTGGTGCACCTCTTGGTGCCCATAATGGGCAAAATTAAACTTTAAGCACCACCAACTATCAATCAGCGAATGACCTCGAATGCAACAATCACGTGGAGGCATTTTTGTATATGGAATACATACATGTATTTTTGAAAAAATTGCATAAAAACAGTAGAAAAGTGTTACAGAAGATACCTTCCACCCAAATGTGATAGAAATAGCTCTTAATTTTAGGTTGGAGTATCAACAGAGTACAATTCCATTTTGGGTAAAATTTATTCTGATAAAGTCTCATAGTGTAATACAGTAATTTTTCTTGAGCAATAAATTCTTCTCGAAACGTCTTCGGTAAATATGACTGTATAACACTGTGAGACTTAACCAAAATAAGTGTTACCCACATTGGAATTATACTCTGTCATAGTGCACAAGTGCTATTCTTATATCAACAGAGTAACTTAACCACACTCTATGTATGTAATTATTTAGGTCTTCTAACCCTAACAATAACCCTAATCTTTCCTTAACCTAACACTAACGTGAAAATATCCTTAAACTAACTGTAAACCAACTCGAACCAACCCTAATGTCGCCTTAATTAGGTTAACCTTACCCTAACTTGTCCCTGACTTAAAGAGCAACTAATCTTTCCCGAACCTAAGCTACAACTTGCCAGAAATCCTATTTAATAACAGCCTAACACTTCGATGAGCATATTTCATTGATGATGACGACATTATTTGCCAGGTTCCATTAACTTGCTCAGTGAGCGTTTCAATGTCATTGGTAGCCAGTGGTGCTTAAAGTTTAACTTGGCTCCATAATGTACCAAGTATAATTCCCATTAACAGAAGAAGCAAATACTTCTCTCCTGTTTTAATAGACACTGCAAGAAGCCAGATATTAACAAGACCAGTAATAGCAAATGTTATACAGCACACATTAAAAACCTACCTATGTCTTTCAGAATCAGGAGATATAGCGCCATGTGTAACTATTCCAAGGGAAGATGTCACGGTAATCTCACCTTCTCTTCTCAGTGCGGGAAACAGTTTAGTGCGAAGTAATACTTGATAACACATGTTGGTAGGAATGGAAACTACGGAAGCAATCGGTTCAGGAAAGAGCCTAAAAGACAGGAATGTGACTGGTTAAATATAAAAGAATACTGAGTAGATATTCTATCATAAAAACAGTATTTTTTGACTTTTGAAGTACCTTTCACATAATCCTGATTCTACCACGGCTTTGACCTATGTGGTTACCACAGTAATATGGAGTGCGACAGATGAAATTACACGGCGAGATTTGGCCCTTATTCGAAACTAACTCAGAATTTCGTCACTAATATCGAGATAAACTAATAGTTTCCAAACCACTGGGAAACACTCACATTCTTTCTTGTCTTATTTTTCTCAAAAAATGAACGACTTTAGAAAAAGAAATGTGGCATTCGTCTTTCTGTGGGTTCTTCTACTTTATAAAGAGAATAGCGAAATTCATACAACAAATGTTTCCGACAAGATCAATCAGTTTCACACTTTACAAGGTATACCTGGAAAAACTTCCACCTTCTAGTGCAAAAATGATAAAATAGTAATGATAATTGTGAAAATCATTTATCCGGAAAAGGCTTTTCCGCATACTTTGGTGTCAAACACATGTCTATCTGGCTGTTTCCGATATAGAACTTTGCACCAATGTAAAGCAGTTCAAGTCGCCACACTCCATGTAGCACACGAGGCGGGAGAAGAAATGCATAATAGAGACAGTAAACAGAGGTGTGAGACAAATGAATAGTAATAACGAAGAACAATATAGTTTCATTGGAAATCATAAGTCACAGGGAGTGGGTGCATCTGCGCCATTGAGAACGATTTGGAGCCATATCACGAAATATTTTCAACCATCGGTTTTTTACCGTCCCGAGGACCCCAACCCGAAAGCCAGTCCACATCTTCCTACGTAGCTTAAACTAACTGTTGTAGATTTGATTGACTGATGAAGCCATGTTTTAGTTTGCCCACCACTGGTTCTTTTCCAACCTGATCCTATGTCAGCTAACATTGCCCATTGTCGAGGAAGGTGATGACTAGGCATAAGTAACACATGTCCTAACCATCTCAGTCGAAATAATTTCACAGCCTCGTCGATTGATTTCCCCTCCAGCCTACCTAGCACTCGACGCTTAACCTCAATATTGCTCACCCTATTATACCACCTAACACACGGGAGATAGAACGCAGGCACCTATGATCAAAGACAGCTACCCGGTCTTTTCATGTCTCCCACTCTCAACGGCCAGGTCTTACAGCCATAAAGGAGGACGGAGCGGACTGCTGAGCAGTACACCCGCCCTTTGGTCGATAGGCAGATGTCACGTCTACGCCAGAGACGGCGTAAACTGGCATATGTGGAAGTAGCCCTCTGTATCCGTATTGAGATTTCGTCAGAGATCAACCTATTGGGGACGATGCAACTTCCCAAGTAAGTGAAGCGGTCAACGTGCTCTACTACTTCACTCCCTATTTCTAAACTAGGAGTCATGACATGTCAAACACATATGAAAGTGATAAAACTCAATTTCTAAGGTATGTCAACGGAAAGAGATTTTAAACAACACGACAGTAACCAAAATTTAAGTGTTGAAGTTAGTGTATCATATTAAAATGCAAATAAATTTCTAACTCACGTACTGCATGAATAACTGAATACAGTGGTTACATAATCCACTAGGTATGACATAAGGTGGATGAACCCATTTTGCAATCAAAGGTTTAAACTTAGTTATTAAAGAATTCAACTTATGACTTGGGTTCTCTCCAAGAAAATTTCTACATCCGTTATTCTAGAAAGGAAATAGTTGTAGAAATACTACAGACTACATTTATTCTTTGCTTTTAGTGGCCACTTTTCTCCGCCTCATATAAAGCATTGTGTAATATCGGTATAATAACGACAAGATGAGCGTTCACGAGATGAAATGTAGATTTTCTGTATAAGATCTTTGATGATCTACTAGTACCAGCTAAACAGTGATCCACGACGTCAGATTATTTTTGTCTGCTATTAATTGATAAAACACTTAAGTCATTTATGACTTTATTGTGACTTTGGAGACAACTAGTGGTGTCCAACAGGAATGCCCACTGTCCCCATTTCTGTTTAGTTTCATCATAGATGTACTCATCAACTTAACCCTATAACAGACTTCAGCGACTCGGGGATTGACTTGCTACCAACAGGGAATAATCTCGTTGACTTAGAATATGAAGGTGATATACTCCTTCTAGGTGAAGACGCGAACGAAATGCAGTCATCTGAACACATTGAGTAGCAGTCTGCGAATGTCTGGCATGCGATTCGCTCCCGCCATATGTAAGATGGTGCTACAGTACTGGACTATATTGACTCATTCCTAACTTGACGATAGACAGAAGGGAAGTGGTAGAGCGTGTTCACCACTTCACTTATTTGGGATGTTGCACCAGCCAACGCCAACGGGTTGATCTATGACAAAATCTCAGCACGGAAACAGAAAGCACGCTTCGCAAATGCAAGTTTACGCCATTTCTGATGCAGACGTGATATCCGGCTATCGACCAAAGGGTATTTGTAGTATAGTCAGTCCCTAATGAGAATTCAAATATAATTACAACACTAAAATTGTCCCCCACACACGAAGTCAGCGTTTGAAAAAATCTGGCAGTTAAAGTAAAAATGAGCTTTATATTAAAACTCCTGTCATAAACCATGAATTTGTAGAAGAAACATAAAATCTGAAAAGCATGACTGCATTTCCGGAAGTCATTAAAATCGAATTGAGGTAACCATCTCCAACTGATTATTCTAGTGTGAACAATCCTAAATTGGATTTAAGAATACTCAAAAAGCGAACACTTTGACTCAGTTTTGAAACTTCTGAAATTCGTCATCTAAAATATTCCATTCCTCATTCAATTCTACAACTTAAGGAGCCAACTGTATCATGTGACATAATGAAGTAAAACAGCCAAGAAGGTCATCATTTTTAGAAAACATGTGTAGTCAAATTTTTCATTATTTCAAGCTGTCCCATTTCTATTCATCGACTTGAATGAAAGAATGGGTATGAATATTAGACAGGAGGGTGAGTCATACATATAAGTTGCGGACATTATCCTATGAGCAATTAAGTGCCAATAAACTGCTAGGCAGAAGACTCAACATAATAACAAAAGACCCTAACTTCACTCGTATGTAACATATTCATATTTTTACAACACTTAAATGTAATTCTATTGGTAAATAATCAAACCTGAAAGAAGATAAACGATATAGTATGGTAACTTGAAAGCTAACCTGGCAAATGAAAATGAGGAACCATGATCTCCTCTTCTTCCTTGAGAGTGTCGCTGGCAGAAACGAAGATAGAACCAACTGAACAACATCCCATTAAAAAACAACGCTAAAGACGTAAACCTTACGAAGCCTATTATAACTGCAATGAAATAAGCAGCCAGTACCAACAGGAGAGCATATCTGGATACAATGCTAAAGCGCTTGCAGCTGATAACCGGTTGATCTGGTCGTAGCTGGATAAGAACTACAAGCACAGAAGAAACGAAGGCAGATGCACCATTGATTCGAGGGATAGAAATGGAGAAATTAAATAATTGAAGCACCAGAGGATAAAGTGATACAAAAAGGGCTGCTACATTGACAAGCCAATAAAAAAATACTACTTCAGCCATGCTCCATGAGTCTAGAACAAGCTTCGTATAAATAAAAACGGCTGACAGTGTCATTAAGAGAACGAAACTCTCATCTGTCACCAAATGGAATGTGAAGAGCTTATATATATCTTGTTTGCTGGAAAAAGGTAGGGAAAATATATCCACAAAAGATTGGCTGAACAACCCAAAAATGAACAATGATGTATATAGTGTACACAAGAGTAACTGAACATAACGGAGCTTCAAAGACGTCAGTCGCGCCATTTATATTAGTAGAACTCCCCAAATGACCTAGAAGTGTTAACATTCGCTCGTAAATTATCCAATATTCAATCTCCATTTGACTTAGATCTACAAATCTACTTCTGGTGAACTGAATGGAAATCCTGGGATATTTGCAGTACCAATCACGTCAGCTAAGCTGCTTCCTCGACCCATATGAACAAACCTTTCATTTCCATGCAGCAGATAGCCTTCCTTTCAAATTGCTAGCTGATGGGGTTAAATAGGCTGAGGGTGTTGGCGTTCACGGATTTTATGACATAAACAAACGCAAGATCTCATACCAACAACTTCTACAGTATTCGTTATTAGTAGACCAAAGGCAACGCAAAACATCAAACCAAGTTGGGTAGTCTAGGATAAAATTCGCAAGTTTGTGTGGCTATAGCGCTGGTCTAGCACGATTGACAGCCTGGAGGCCTGGAAATCATCGTGCCAGCATTTACTGTCTGATTTCTATCGGAGAGAAATGATTCTATCCACTTGTGGAGAGGGTTCCCTAGTGAGCCTAACTTGCTGACCAGCAGACTGTGCAACGCTGTCGAGGGCTTTACTCATTTCGAAATAGAGGATAATTACTAGATCTCTACTATCTCTTCTATAGGTGACTTCGTTAAGGAAGTCTTTACGGAAAGTGGCACGTGATCTTTTCTTGGGGAATCCGTGTTGTGACTGGTTGATGAGTTTATGATTTAGAAAGTATTTTAATTGAATTTTTAATTTTCCCGTCGATTGATTGGACCGAAGTGCTCGGGCTCAGGTTGACATGTCGGCTTCTTTTAAAGATACTTCGACGATGCATGCGCATGTAAATAAAATTTAATTGCTGGATAGTGACTGGCATTGGAATCCAGCTGGTTTTAGAAAGTAGTCTGACATTTTGTTTTTGATAACCTTTTCCATGATCCGTGATATGACAGATGTTGTCAATGGAGTTGAAGATTGAACGATCAATTCTTGGTTGTTTGTTCAAAATCAACTTCCCCGATTTTCGCGGAGGCATCAATACGACAGTCATCGTCTCATCGGTCGCTGTTCAGAAAGAAGAGTGAAACATCGTCAGAAGTAATACTGGGATTTATTATTGTAATATTTGTTTTCAGACCTTAGTTCGCTTATTCCTTTTATATGTTGGTGTAACAATAAACAAATCTCAAGCGGCAGATCGGTGTTTTGGATTTTTCGTCCGTTATAACTAAGCGTTTCTGAAATCTTCGAAGAACAGCGTGGGCCCGAGCGTAGCGAGAGCTGGGCATTAACGGTTTATGAGACGTGATTGACAGTTTCTGACGATAGAAACAGATCTGGCGGATTCAAACAGTTGGTGAAAGTTTGGATAGTCACCGTTCATTTTTCCTGGTGCCGGTCAAGTCCTCTTTGAACAAGCAATATCTGGAACTTTTTTGGAATTGGGTCAAGTTCAACAATGCCTGGGTCAAAGAAGGGACAGAGTGTCTTGGATGCAAACAGGAAAGTAAGTCATGGTGACTTGTCTGTTAATTGTAACGATGTGTCTGATGTTAAGCATGACATGGTTGATGTTACTGTTTCGCCGTTCAGGGATAATAGGAACATCAAACTCCCTAAATTTGAACCACGGTGTTTTGATGGAAACCCGGCTGATTATTTACAATTTGTAAAGGAGTTTGAGATCATGTTGAGTGGTTTTTTATTAAATGATGAATTGAAGTTAATGTATTTGATGAGATATTGCACTGGAGATGCTGCAAGAGCTATACAGTGCTGTAAGTTTATGAAGCCGAAAGAGGGCTACTACGAGGCTATGAGCATATTACGTCAAAGGTTTGGAAGACCTTCGATGATTGCAGGGAAATTATTCGAGGCTGTTAAGGGTAATGGTGGTCAATTACAGGATGACTCCCAGGCACTCACTGAGTTTTTAGATAATTTGCTAATTTACAAGAATGGAATGATTTCGATGAATCGCGTGAGTGACCTCAACTCGAGTTTTATACTAGAAGTAATAGCAAGACGCCTACCTACTCGACTGCAAAGGAAGTGGGTGAAGATGAGCTCCCGTATGGAGGATGAGGGTATCGAGCCAAAGTTTGATGATATCCTGAAACTGGTAAATACTAGTGTCAATCAATCTATGAGCAAGTTCGCCAGTCTATTACATCTCACCCCTAGAATAGAGCAGTCTGAGATCAAAATGCAATCATTGATGACGAGTAGGCCTCAGAGAGGTGGATATCGAGAAAGCTCCATGATGTCTAGTAATGCATATAGACCTAGTGAGTGTAACAGGTTTCGTAGTACATCCTCAACAGATAAGTTACAAGATGCAAGACAAACACGGTTTTGTTTTACACGTGTGCAAGAGGTGCATACAGAAGTGAACTGTGAACCGGTGAGCAAGTTCAGTGATAAGCTAAATGTAAACTCCAGGCCTGACTCCGAATTGTGTGACGATAACGGTGTTGTGAAGAAGTCTGTAGTTGCAACTGGTAAGCCGTTGTTGAATAAAGTGTCACAGAATAGAGTTGCTGCTTCAGAGTGCAGTTCTGACCCTACAAGTTTACAAGGTATTACTAGTCAGAGTGAAGTTATAAAACCTTTTATGATTTGCGAGGAGGAACCAAAATTGTCTACTTCTGTTATTAAAGAGTTTGAAAATGATGAAGTTGACGGTAAAGTGAATATTCGTGATAATGATCATGATACTTCACAGTTGTCTTTGGTTGATCATTATGAGATGAGGGATATGCCTACTACTGCTAAGTTAAATAAAGGTTCTGTACAACTACAACGTGAAGTAGAATTGAACGCAGATGCAGTTCCAAAAGGTGTGCATACTTGTGAGACAGTCAGTGTAATTGATCAGCGTGTAGCCCACCTATCATCAGATGATAGTGCTAAACCCGAACTAGTAGTGAAAGACAGCAGTGGTGGTAATCTTGCAGTTGGACAACTATCTGAGAGCCGAACAAGAACAGCTTCTGATCCACCACTAAGTTCATCACCTTGTGTCACTCAGTCATCGTTGGTGCTGTCATCCACAATGAAACAGACACCCATCAACTCAAGTATCTTGTGCAATGACTATGGTAGTATCAGTTCGTTTGAAAGGACGAATATCAATGGTCAGTTTAGTGTGGATAAGCCAAGTGTAAAGGAGAGAGTAATTGTTAAATTGACTTGCACGAATAAAGGCATTTCTAGTTTCAAGTTACTATTTGAATGTTATTATCTTTGGTGTAAATTACTCTGTTTCTATACTTGGTTGATGAGATATGTCGTGTGTTTGTTGGTCATCTATATTCTACGATACAATGACATGGGCGTGTTGCCGTTCAGATTTGAGGATATAGCTGATAGAAGGAAGTTAGCAAATGAACTCTGCGACGATTTTCCAACCTAGGGCGTCAACCTGAGAAGGGTTGTAGGCGTACTGCTGTAAGTCCTACAATTCTTCAAAGGGTAGCGCATCAATGAGCAGTCCAATGTGCTTGGTGTATGATTTTGTACATATGTTCATATTGTATATACTGAATTGATATCATCTGTCATCTAGCTGTTGGTAATTCTGTTTGTGTCCGGACGACTTCCACTTGGATCATCAACCTGAGAAGGAATGTAGGCGTACTGCTGTAAGTCCTACAGTTCTTCAAGGGTAGTTCGTCAAGCCAGAATCCACAACATTTGATGTGGTGATTGTACATATGTTTGTGTTAAATAGTTGTGTGAGTTCCAATTGATGTAATTGTTGGTTAATCTTGTTTGTGTCTGGACATTCCACAACTTACAATCGTCAACCTGTGAAGGGTTGTAGGCGTACTGGTGTAAGTCCTGCAATTCTTCAAGGGTATTCCATCAAGACATGAAATCCGAGTTTGTGTGTACTGTTTGTATATACGTGTGGTGTGTCATATCAATTTGTGATTTTGGATTCATTGTGTTTACTCGTTGTTTTCGTACCTAGTTGTTATTGCATAATTTTGTTAAAATTTTCGTCGTGATTACTTCTGAAGTTGTTTCGAGTCTTCTACATCCGTGAATGAATTGATTGATGTTAAAGACAGCAGATGGGTCGTATACATCGGGGAGGCTAGGCTATTGCTGAGAATGAAATGCACACGGAGATAATTGTTAGCTGCGGTCCGACACGCCGGGGAGAGAGAGTATAGACGACTGAGGCTCGCATACGTCACCGTTACTAGAACTGAGGCAGAATGAGTGACAAGCGATTGCAGTGACAATTGGTTGTGAGTAGATAGGAGGATGTGCGTAGAGTATCATGAGGTGCTACTATGGTCACGTTGCATTCTGCAAGAGTCATTCTAGCAAGTGGCGATTGTGTTGCAAGATGTCAAGAGGAGGTCTCTGTCTGGAGGCGCAGGTCGTCATTGACGTGTGAGATTGTGCTGTGGGTATGCTTGTGGTGTGTTGGCTTTTCTGTTTGTTTTCCATTTCAGCTCTGTCCGTGTGACCCAGGTTCTCGCAATGGCATCCAAGTCAACGTGTATTGGTCGTGAAGGAAAAAAGGGTTGGATCCCTTTTTTGCCGGGGAGTGTCAATGGAGTTGAAGATTGAACGATCAATTCTTGGTTGTTTGCTCAAAATCAACTTCCCCGATTTTCGCGGAGGCATCAATACGACAGTCATCGTCTCATCGGTCGCTGTTCAGAAAGAAGAGTGAAACATCGTCAGAAGTAATACTGGGATTTATTATTGTAATATTTGTTTTCAGACCTTAGTTCGCTTATTCCTTTTATATGTTGGTGTAACAATAAACAAATCTCAAGCGGCAGATCGGTGTTTTGGATTTTTCGTCCGTTATAACTAAGCGTTTCCGAAATCTTCGAAGAACAGCGTGGGCCCGAGCGTAGCGAGAGCTGGGCATTAACGGTTTATGAGACGTGATTGACAGATGTTATACTGATCGGCCTATAATTGCGTGCACCAATTTTGGCCCCTCTTTTATGCTCAGGTAATATACAGGTGTTTTTCCAAATTTCAGG